ACAATCACGGTCTCACTTTGCTCAGGTACATACCCTGCTTCTGCCCAATCTTTCTAAAAGTTTCAAGGCTCTGAATCAATAAGAAGCAATAGCTACTGTTTTTAATTCACTACTTGGCAAGCACCAAAAATAGATGCAATTCTTACAGATGAGTTTGTGTAGCATGAAAACAAGCAAGTTCTGACAACAATTATGAATGAGGCTGGTTTTTCAGATGGTCCTCTTGCAAATGTATGCAGGCACTAGCCACAATGCTGTAACTACTGTATCTAATACATGAATCAGCCACGTTTTGGATGTTAATTGTGCTTCCTGAGCTGTATTGGCTGCTGCTGTAAAAGCCACATGCTGAGCAGCAGATGAAAGCTATTGAACTGTACTGGTTCAGAGTGATAGATGGACCCTTCAGGTCAATAAAGAACCCGTTTGGTCAAACAGCCCTCTGAGTGGCTTAAAGCATGTCTGTATGATCTGAAAGACTCCTGGCATTAGCTGGCCATCACTTGGTAGTTGAGAGCTCTCTTGGTGGCCCTCTTGGCTGCAACTAAGCTGATAAAAACCAACCAGATGTTCTATTAACGCTTGGTCTTAGTCTTGCTTTTATAAGATAATCCAATAAACAAGGTTATGTAACCAAGTTTTAACATAAGAGCTTTAATAAAATATACTTTTAGAAATATATAAATATATATATATATAAATATATTCCAGGCAATGGTAAGCCCTAGTTAGTTCCCCCGTGGCAAGAAGACTCAGGTTGACCAGCCTGCTTTTTTCATTTTGAAATACTGAGAGCTGACAGGTGCAGAGGCTGGGAAAGTGGTATCAGCTGAGTTTCCAGCTCAGGGAAGATCCCAAACCTTGGTGCCTGTGTTGCTGTGGCTTGGCTTGGTGGGAGGAACCTCCCAGGGGTTGAGCAAGCTGATGTGCTGCTTGTGGCTCCTACTAGCCTGCAGGGAAGAGTGTAATTCAGGATGACAAGCTGCTGTTCTTTCTTCTACCCTCACTGGTTTCTCATTTTTTGACTGGAAATGTCAGTAAAAGCAACAAAAACACAGTCTTTTTTAGTCATTGGTGTGCTGGATTTTCATGCTCTTTTTCAGCATGAGAAAGGAAGAAAAAATAAAGAATTTTACATTTACATGCTGTGTGTGGATTCTATATACCCTCCACTATGAGCCTGGTGATTTACCTGGCCTTTCCCATGTAATGGAGGAGCTTGGAGGGAAATGAAGGAATCACTCTTAATAGCCAGTCCTGTGCAAAAGCACTGTAATGGTTCCTCTCTGTCATCCTGTGAATTTAAACAGCATTTAATAGATTCAGTTCTCCTCCTTAGCTGAAGAAAGCATTCCTTTACCTTGTTTTAGTTTAGCAATGAATCAGCCCCCTATACCTGCTTGTTTCTGATAAACCACTTCACTAGCAGAACAATCTTAATCAAAGCAGACTATGCCCATTCTGCCTTCAGTGTGTTTATTTGCTGAATCTTAGGAAGAGAATTATGAACTCCTAGAAAATACCTCAGCTGACTCAAGAGGTGAACTGGAAAACTTGGGAGGGTTTTTTTCATTTGCTGGGGCTCTGCATATTTGATTTCTGACAGGGTTGACTGGTACAGTTTTCTATGTAGGTTTTAGATTGTTTGAATTACATGTGTAATGAAGTACTTTGTGAATTAGTTCCCTCTGGGAGAGGCTAGAGCTTGGAAAACATCAGATGGAAAGTTTGGCTATATGTCTGAGGTGCTTATTTAGGCTTACTTTTTCCTTAGGGAAAAGTTATGAAACTAATTAACTTAATGGGTTGGAAGAGCATTGAGGTGTCTGGCACAGCAAGGTAGAGGAAGTAGACATCTTCCTGCTAAGCACTGTAGTCACTTCTCATCCTTTTGGGATGTGTTTTTAGATAAGGTTCCTGCCCTTGGGACTGTCCTGATGGTTGATGGTGAGATTAGCTCTAATCCAGGGGCTGAGTTCTTGTCCTCATGTCCTGGCTCTTGGTGAGAAACTGGCCCCTTTTTCCTGCCCTGTGCTCAATCCTGTTGATTTTCACAGTTTCACTTCAAAGTTATGTTGATCTGGATGTTTACTGTCCAGTTCTGCACAGGCCTTCTTCTTCCAAGCAGTCCAATGTGTTCTGTAGCTTCCTTTCCTAAAAGTGGTTGGCACAAATCCCTGCAAAGCAAGGCAGTCTCATCTCATTGCAGGCTTTAGCATTGTTTGTATTGATCCATGGATATTCATCTTGGATCACTAGTGTCAAGTGGAAAAAATAATAAATTTCTATTGTACTAGAATTAATCTCTCTCTTGGCTCCTTTGGACCATGATCTGGTTAAGAACAGAAGACAATGATCATCCTAAAGGATGGGGGGGATCATTCAACCATTCAAGCACAATTTATCTCTTCTCCATGAATTAAGCAGTAATGGCCAGAGAGGAGGAGTTAAAAACCTTGCTGAATGGATTTGGTTGTTTAAGATGCTCTGAGGACTGGAGAAAAACTGCAAAAGGTGAAGGACATCCAGGTTCTTCTAGTACCTAAGGATGCTTTTTGATGCTTTTCAATAACTGAGCCTCAAATCTACCTTGACGTGTCTCCTTTCCTCTGTGGGCAAGGCAAAGCTGGGTTTCAGACCCAGCTGCTATGGTGCTTAGCAATTTAGTGTCAATCCTTGCTATGGTTTGAGGGGCTATTTTGCCAATTGGTTCTGGAGCATTCTCATTTTCAGCAGACACCTGTTCCTTAATTATCACATCCTTAATTATCACAGTCCGTCTCTCTGTGTTCAGCACTTTCTGACACAGGAGCTATAAACTGATTTGAAGGGAGGTTGCATTGAGCAGTGTTGGGACAGAAGGTGGAAAGAAATTAGTTATAAACTCAAGAATACTTGTCAGTAAGAAATTTGGTGTCAACTTTTGTTTGGCTTTGGGCCCTTGCCCTGCATCACTTTTCAATCAAAGGTTTATTTAGTCTGCTGGGGATTGTGCACTGCTCTGGGATGGAGTGGCAGTCCCTAGTGGGCAGGAGAGTGGAGTTAAGGTCCCAGTTTGAAGAAAGGAACAAGAAGGAGAAGAGTAAAAGAAGGTTTGTAACTGACTGGTTTGCTTCTATGTTAAAACCTCAAGTCCCATAACTGTTAAACCTGATTTGGCTCTTAGTCTTGCCAGTTATGCCTGTGGCATTGTATTCTGTGTGATTTCAGTGTTTCCTCCAACAACCATCAATTGCTTCACAAATCTGAATTCTGTGCATGCTTCCTGTCCTTTTTATTTTAATCTGAGCAGTAAAAGCAAGAGTTGGCGTAAGCAATGGTCTCTGATCAGAATATATCCCCACCAAGCAACATGTCAAACCAAGGGTTCTCTCCCCTGCTCCCCTTCTGGGTTTACTTTTGTCACCTGAGAATTTTTGTGATGCGAGGCATTTCCAATTTGCCTTGCAGATATTCTGAAACTGTCTCAAAAAAGGTTTCTTGGGGTTGAGCTAGTCTTAAAATAGCTTGGATTCTGTTCTGTCCTGACTCTGTTGAGGTTGACAGAGACCTTGAGGCTTGGCAGACCTGCCCCTTTGAGTCCCAGTTCTTCATTTCTGGTGACACCTTTTCTTGTGCTGCTTTAAGAAGTCATGGAAAAGAGCAGTGTGTAAATATTAATGTTTAATATTTGTCTTTAAAAATCTCTTTGGGATGCTCTACAAACCTATGCTGTGTGTGCTGTGGCTTTCTAAGCGTTGCCTGTTTACAGCGTTTGAACCTGTTAGTGTATCACTAGCTGGTGCCATCCCATGGAGGACAGGCAGGGCTCTCTTCTCTAACGCCCATTTAGTCTCTCTCTCACTCAAAGTATTTCAGTCTATGTTCAGACTGCAGCCAGGGTCTGTTTCTTGCAGTGAAGCCTTTTCTCTTCTCTCTGGAGTAGACAAGGCTCAAGTGCTGCTTAGTGCCTGAACAGAGGTGACAGTGCTGCACAGGATGTGCCACCTCTGGGCATGGGCTGATAGCATGATTGCCTTGAGTGCTCTAGGAGGTGCTAGAAGAAACTCTCATAGGAAGCTGTACAGTCCAGATTCTTAGGATGGATCTTTGTTGGATGTATTTTCCAGCCCAGCTGGAAGAGATGCAACAGACTGGTGCTGCAGTGTACCCCAATTTAATTTGCCCCATCCCTGGAAGTATTCAAGGCCAGGTTGGACAGGGCTTTGAGCAACCTGATCTAGAGGAAGGTCTAGAACAAGATCATCTTCAAGGTCCCTTCCAACCCAAACCATTCTGTGATTCTGTGAAACACTGGTCTCTTAACAGACATCCAAGAGGGCAGTGAGGAAGTTCTTCACTGAAGAGCCTTTACTTTCCAGACTGAATTAAGTTCTCTCTTATGAGTATCTGATGACTTTTTTTCTCACTTTGCACAGGTTTTCAGCTTCCAAGAGCTGAACTGTTACACTGTAGCTTCCCACTGTCAGTTTTTACATGTATAAAAATCCCTCTATGTTTTACACTGGTGCCTTAAAGCATGGAGGAAAAAAGCTCTAGGCAGAGCTCATGCATTGCTGAGCCTGGGATATCCCGAAGCCACCCCATCAATGTTAATGGAAGCAGACTGGTGAGGGCTATTGCTATTCATACCTAAACTGAGAATGTACTTGGGCAAAGAGGCCACAGTTTAATATTTAATGTTCTGTAAGGCTGCACTGAGAGCTTTTACTGAAATGTGTCAGTAAAGGAGTGCTGTTGCAGTGATAGCAAACAGCTGAGAGCCAAGAGGATCCTGAGCTCCACTTCTGCCCGAGGCATGTCCTCTGATACCCAACAGCTTACTTGACCCCATGTCTCAGCCAGCTTAGCTGTAAAATTAAGCAACAAAGAAAGCTTCATGACAAACGGACATGTCTGGAGGTAAATTTTCAATGCAAGCTTTGTTCTTCTGATAAATTCATCTTGCTGGCAGAATTTCTGGTTTTTAATCTAATATGTGATTTTTGTTGTCCTTTCAGGCAGCATTCACGCTCCTCCTGGGTCCTTTCACCTTCTTCAATGTGCAGAAGACCAAGTATCTTCAAATCATGACATCCCTCATGAGATGGATAGGTGAGTCTTGGCAGAGGCTCGGCCACCTCTTTACCTCTTTATTGATGGAACCTGAGTCACGCCGCTGACGCTTCTCTTTGGCAAGATCTTGTTTGGAAGCAAGTGCTTGTCAAAACAACCTCTTTGAGGACAATTGTGCAGGCCTAATAAATCTTTGAGGAGAAAGGTTTTAGTCTAGGATGAAATTTCTGATTAAAACTAAACAAATTGTTCTCAGTCAGACACAGCTGGTAAATGAGGTTTTAGTCTCATTTGTATGAGGGGCATAAGAGGTTTGGCAGAGTTTCCTGTCTGGGTCCTTGCAGTGATACCCACCAGTTGGAAGTTTCTCATTCTCACAGAATATGCACAATAGACTTTGGACAATCTTTGTTTTGATCTGAGAGGAAAAGGCATTTCTATCAGACTTTCCACCCTTAGTTTTATCATCTGCTTGCATTTATTTTCCTCGGTTTTCCTTTATGGTAGGATGTGCTCTATCGGAAACCCCCAAACCAGGAAGTCCTGCTCCCAGGGGTTCTTTCCAAAATATTGCCAAGAACTTCTGGGAAGACAGATCAGTTCATTAAGGGGGAAGAAAGACATTACTCCTTTTTTTTTTTTTTTTTCCCAATGCCTTTGTCATTCAAAGATGCAGCTGCCTCATATCTGGCTTGTGTGTAAATGCCCTTAAAGGCTGAGAGGTGTGTGTGGGTTGTGCAGATTTATGTTCACGTTTGTCTGTTTTTGTGTCACCTAGACAGAGTGACTGATACTCAGGGCTAATAAAGGGCATTTCTGCAGGTTAATGACCAGCATTTCTGCAGGTTAACAGTCTCCTGGTGTGTGAATCCAGACCATTCAGACACAACTCTGTTTATACCTATCACTGGAATAAGAAGAAAAGCTGCTTCTCTAACTGTTTTCCATTACACACATACTCTTGACCTGACTGCAATTGGGTATTGTCTCTTCTCTGTGAATTCATCCTTATTGGAGCTGGCTGGTAGTCACTGCAGAGAAGTAGAGATCCTCTGTTCTACAGAATTCCTGAGATGGGGTTAAGCAGTTGACACTCAGGAAAATTAAGTTGGATTTTAAGCTCTCAAGTCTCAGATGTTGAATAGTTTGAGTTAATAAATCCTGACTTTGGATGGTGTGAAAATCCTCAATGCCTGTTTTTCTCCTTTGTTGTCTGAGCACATGAAAGGTTTGAAAGCCCCCCCATTCTTCAGAGAAAGAGGTTATCTCATTAAGGGGTACTAAAGGAAATGAAGAAGTTTTGCATGGGTTTTTTTTGTTGGTTTTTCTTTTCTTTTTCTTTAAAAGAGTGATCTCTGCTCAGCTGACTGGCCTGATTCCAATCACCCTGCCTCCTCTTTCCTGGTAAAGACATCAGTCAGACCTCATCCTGTCTCTGTGACAGTCTGATGCCTGCCTTATCTGCCATTGCTTTCCCTTTAGCCAGCTCCTTCCAGTATGAGGATTGCTAAACCTTGGCACGATGGCAGAACTGTTCCTTTCTTTCATGGCTTGATGGAGAGGTATAAAGGCAGTGTTTGGAGAAGTGTAGGGGAAATTCATGCTTTAGCCTGATTGATTCCTGCATCAGCACACTGGGGAACAGCTGCCCCAGATAATGATAGTTAATGACCCTGACAGCACCTCAGTGGCTACTTAGAAGAACAGATTCCATATGTGTACAATGAGGGATAGATTTATTGGGAAAGACAATTTGTCAAAAAGCCACGTGATGCAGGGAGCAGAGAAAAGCTCTTGCTGCAGATCCCGGGGTAAGGATCAATCCCCTACTGCTGAGATTTGTCAAGCTGGCTTCTCCCATGTCCTCACATCACTGCTGTCCCCTCCTCCAAAAGCAGGGCTGTGAGTTAACACAGGTTGGTGTTTAGAGAGCTTAGATCCTAAAGAATGGTCTTGGGTAATGTTTTATGGTCTTCTGGACTTCTCCTGCCTGCATGCCAATGGCCAGATGTGAACTCTTTGTCCTGGTATGAACTGTGCTTTTCCTTCACCTTCCTTGGTTTTAGCCATGTGGTGCTGAGGGTGGTTCTGCAAAGCATTCTGAGCAGTAGAGCAACACTGCAGCTTCCCACCTACCTGTTTATGTGTGGAGGAAAGAAAACCTTCCCAAGTGGACAGTGGCTTGCTTATTCAGCTTACCTGTGCTCATTGGCTCGGTGTGGATGGGAATCTGACCCATGCTTTGCATCATGATTTGAAAAAAATCAAGCCTCCTGAGCTGGGAGGTCAGTAAAGACTTTGTGCCTCCCACAGGACCCACCACAGACCCTTCTTCCCAGCCCAGTGGAAAGTCCCTGGATTTCAGAGCAGAGGAGGCTGATGTAAAGCAGCACTGCCCCAGGTGTACTGGTGATTCAGATGATAGCAGCTGAGAGGATGGATCTTGGCAGCAGAGAGAGCTAGCTGTGTGTGAAGGTCATTTCTGCTGGTGTTTGCAACAGTGTCAGCCTTGCCTTTGAAAGTTGCTTTCCCTCTTTCTCCTGATCTAAGTGATAATCAGATGTCACCAGCCTCTTTCAGAGCCTTATGCTCATCACAAGCAGCACATTGGCTATCAAAGCCTACAGCAGTTTCATTCCACACCTCACAGATAAAAAAAAAATCATTCTCTCTCTGAAAAATAGGCTTAAACACTGGGATCTGAGCTGGAAATTAAAAATGGGCCAGTTCAAAGAATGTGGAGATGTTCCAAGGGTCAGCCCTTTATCTGGCGTCCTCCCAGGATAAGGGACTAAGCCAGGACAGGCACCTCTGAAGCCTATAAAATGAGAAAGCTGAAGGAGGAGCTCGCAAGCTCAAGTGTTGTACTGCTTGAGAGCCCAGACAGATGGGTCCTCCTTGTCTGGGCCTGTTGATCATGGACAGCTCATCTGGAAACAAGGCTGGCATGGCAAGACACTTCCCTGCCAGGATTGATTGGAGCACAGAGGGTGGATCTGTGTCTCCAGGTGGAGTGGGGCTGGTGGCAAAGGAACCGAGGAACTGAGCTGTTGCCAGTCGTCTGAAGAGTAGCAGCTTACACACTTGGCTGCAGAACTGATTGTCACTTGGCATTGGTGAGTGCCAGTGGTTAAATTCAGTGCAGCAGTTTGTGCTTGAACTGCTGGCCTTATCCTTGCTTAGAGATCTCTGTACTCCAGGAGCTGGCAGATGAGTAAGGCTTTGCCTACCTGCGTTCTCATCCCTTTCCCAATGGAGAAGCTCTTCAGACCGCTTTGTCAGCCTTTTGCAGGTACCTAATCTGCCTTGGGAGATGGAGCAGAGGCACCCTAAGGGGTGCAACAGGGAGCCTGCCTGCTGTGCTTCCCTGGAGATAGGGCCAGTGAACCAATGAAAAATAATTTGGTTTAAATCCTGGCAATGGTTCCTACAGTGAAGCTTTGTTTTGATTTGCAGTTAGAACTATGTTGGCTCACCCAGCTTTGGGGCCATGTGAGTACAAATTGTTCCTATGGGGTGAGGAGGGTCCTTCCCCAAAGTGCAAGTCGTGCCTTCCTTTCAGCTCTCTTCCACCTCAGCCTTGGGAAAGTGTAGAGCTGTCATTAGGTCAATTCCTTTACCAGTTTTGGAGCCTGTTTCCAGGCCTTTTACAAAGTTATTGGATCAGGGCTTCTTGCAGAAGGCTAAAGCCATCAATAAATGTAGAGCTGTTGGTATTTCCAATTCTGCTGTTTGGATTTCAGACACTTTTTTTTTTTTTTTTTCTCCTGGAGGGTTTAAATCTATGGGGAAGATGGATTGCTCTCTAAAGAGAGTTGCTTATCTAGCTGGTTTTTTTCCCCCTCTCATTTCTTCAATCCTGATCACGTGAGTGCTGTTAGGGGTGAGCTGCTGAAGGGCACAGCTCAACAAGAGGGACTGAGCCAGGCAAATCCCATGCACCTCTCACAGGAGAGGGGATACAGCTCACTGGGGCACAGCCCTACCTCTTTATTATTGGATTATATGGGATAATAACTGTCTAGCAGCATCATGGGATAGGATATGGATTAGGAAAGATAACAATAGGACAGCGCTTGGTGGAGCTGAGCAGCAAACACTGGGCTATTGTGTATTAAGCAGCTAACCCGATTAATTGCAGCCTGTTGCAGCCCAAGATGCCCAGCTCTGTAGGTGAGGACTGCTGGCTCTAAAGACATTGGTAGTGTGATCATCGCTGCTGTCTTTAAATTGTCTCTGCCAAATGTTCCCAGACAGCTCCCACGTGGGGCCTGTGCTCTGTGTGCTGCTCATGATGCTGTATTGTAGTTATTAGAAAGTATTGTATTTTAATGAAGAGATAGTTTATAGAGTAATAAACTTCTGGGTTTGGTTGAACAGGCTCAGTTCCCTCTCCCTGTTGGATCACACCACATCTATTCAAGTAAATGCAGCCCTTGAGACAGAACCTTCCCAACCCTGTCCAAACAATGATCTCACAATTACATGCTCAGGAGTAAAATCTCTACCCCAGCTCTTTTCCCTGTCCAATAAGATGGAGGGAAAGAAGACAAGAATTGCTGGGAAGTCTATGTCAAATCCTTATTTTCTCCATCCCATCCCCTTCCAGGCTACTTGGTAGAAGGCTTCTGGGGCAGAAACTAGGAAAGGGCTGTCCAGAGCATGCTAGTGGGGCTGACTTTCTTTATCTTGTGGTTTCTCAGGTAGTTCTGCTCTTTCCATCAGAGCCCTGCTGTTTACAGCACTGCTCTGCAGAGAACTGGTCTCAGACCATCTCACCTTGCGAGCAGACTCAGGTAACTGTCACTGCCATCCTTAGCAGCAGAACCACCTGTGCTGCAGAAACCTGGAGTCACTGTGCTACATCCCTTCAGGTGCTGAGACTGACAGTTACAGAGGAGGCTGATTTAGGAGGTGGTCACAGTTATCTGAAGTCCTGAATTTCCAGTCTCCTGCTGAGAAATTAGTCTGCCAGTGCCCACAGTCCTCAAGGTAGGTGGCCTCTTTTCACATCAGAAATTGAGCTTTCTGCAAATAGC